TGTTAGCTATAGATTTAACAAATACTCTGTAACACGCTTCCCGCTGCCCTGTATCTTGTTCTCTCATTGGCTGTAGGTCATCGCCGATGGGTTTTTCAGTCAGAACTCATTTCACACAGCGTGATTGTGAATCGCCGACAGCTCCAGACATTTAGCATGCCAAATATTTCGCAGGCATCGGCGATTCCCTCAGATCGCGTCTTTGATAATTCACACTGCGTGATTGTCACTCGCGTGAACGAGCACCGATTTGCCTCCGATGTCGGGCATTTGTCGGCAATTTCGCAAAACCTGCAGGCGAGTGAAAAATTGGGCTAAAATCGTGCAGTGTGAACTCGGCATTAGTCGAATCCAGTTGTGAGATCTTGTGAAGTGTGCATGTGACCTGCATGATCGCATGTTCTCTGCGTGACGTTCGGTCTGTGTAAATTGAATGCTTTAAACATTAAATTCGTGATTTCAAATTATGCTGCGCTTTACGCATTTGCCCAAATGTCATATTCATGTAATTTTCACTGTGTGCTGTTTGTAAAATGAGTGTTACCTTGGCTTTATTTGAAAAAATATGATTCCCAATGCACACAAACTTCCCAGAATACGGAGTGCTCTGTTGGTTAGTTTACTTCCTTTTTAATTATATTTTTATTAAATATGTATTTATTTGTGGAAAAAACTTTGTCATCTAAAGTATAAGTATGTTTGTTTTACAAATTAATTTGTTAATCCATTTTCAAATGATTTCAAATTTCTTGGTTTTGAGACCTTAGTCTTTGCAACTTCAGGGATCTTATCTATGCACAATCAGCTTGTAACACTCCAAAGAGAACGTAAAACTTGAATTCGCATCATATGACCCCTTTAATTAAAATAAATACAATTATATCGGCCATCGGCTGTCAAAAAAACAATATCGGTCGACCACTACTTGTAAACTCAATCAGGTATAGCTAATCACCTTCTCAATAGCACACATGATAGTGCACCTGAAGCAAACAATCAACTACTGTATGGGTGGCAAGGCACTGTCAAAAGATCCCCAGATAAAGTTGTGGACAGGCACATGTCAGATGAGTCCGCAGATGAGACTAAAATTTAATTATTTGGCCTCAACACCAAACAATATGTCTGGTGGAAATACAATACAGCTCACCATCCAAATAACTCCATACAGTAAACCATGGAGGTGGTAATATCCTGTTATGTTGGTGTTATATCTTTCACTTGGATGTTATAAGTTGCACTGAGTAAATATACAGCTGGATAAAACAAAAACTGTCCGTCTTCATTTCAGGCTGTGATTATTTTAAATGGGGTGATTCTTTTCTATACCCAGTGTACATACAAATGTATAACACAAGTCACTTTTTTTTATATGTGGATTGAGCAGAATTGAATTCTCCCATGTACCTGACATCATGATCACGGAGTGTGCTCAGAAATTCCTCCATTATTTCTCAGTGATCTTCCTTGTTCACCCTTACTACAAAAGATCAAAATCTGGGCTGCATGCCTGAGAAAAAGAAAGAAAATTGATTAGCAGAGATGATGGGTGTAAACAACAGAATCACATTTAGCACTGAGTCTGCATTAAAGTTAGTTACCATGGGAAACCGTACACAAATAAGTTACCATCGGTGTGCTCTGAGAGAATTGAGTTGATATTTCAAGTTGTCCCTGACATACTATGATTTCAGCCTTTCGGGTACAACAGTATTTCATTGGTAAAATATGTTAACATATGAAACAGAATGGGTGTTCCAATAATAACGAGATATTAAGCGGTGAGCGATTATTAGACGCTGAATATAATGTGATGATATTACGTTGATAAGTGACATTTTTCGGTGTGTTTGCACACCAGGTCTTATTGTCTTACTACTAATAAATCACTACTTGGCTAACATTAGCCTATTAGCGTGGAGAAATAGTTCGCGCATTGTCTTAACGTTACTGTTACTGTCTTTGCACAGACAATGAATATGCTCTACAATCTTTGAACTCGAGATAAAATTTGTGTTAAAGTTTGTTTTCTGAAAATACAAATCTCACTTACAATTTCTGGGACACTTGACATCATGTTTGTCAGATGGGGTTGTAGGGGTGACAGAAGCTCAAGAACAACACAACACTAGAGAACAGCCACTCTGCCTGCGCTTCCGCAGAGGGTCACGTGTTTCACAGTAAGGATTCTCATTGGACACGTTTGTACAGTAGGCTATGCAACATCCCTGGATAAGTTTGCTAGTAATTTGAACGATCTATTGCTAAAATACCTTTAATATCCCAGTTCCTTCCTAATTTGATAATACATTCTTTACGTTTTTTCCTTTCTTCCTTATATTTCCTACAGTTTAATAGAACAGACATTTCACATTTATCTTTAATCATAAGAAATAATGTATTATTAAGTCTTGTGTGTCCTAACCGTATCAGTATAACTGATTTCTTCTGTTTTGTTTTTACTAGTAATTGTTTTAACTTTAATTATTTTTTTGAAGTCTGTAATATTCTCTTCCTTTATTATCCGAGTCCCAAATCTTTTGCCAGTGATTATCAATGAGCTTTTAATTAATGTTTTTCCTTCATTTTTTCCCCAAGGGAAATCTCTATTTTTGTCATTCTGATTTAACCTTTTTTTTGTGGCTCCCCTGTGAAAACACCCTGGCTCCGCCACTGCAGTACGTCCATTTCCTGAATCTTTAGATCCATCAGTATACGTTTCTAAATATCCATAATAGTTTCTTATTTATGTATTCTCAAACCAACCTACAGATGTTGTCATTTCCATTCTCTAACCATTCCTTTTTCTTTTCAATTTAGCTTGTAATTTGGGATAGTGTGGTGCATTTAAATGCTCTATAACTTATATAATATAACAGACTCTATTTAGTTATCACACAAGCAAACACAATAACGATTTGTATTAATTTTATGTGTTCTGCGCACTTTCATGAGCCATTTTGCTTGCACGAGCCCAATTTATTAAACCTATTAAACCATCTAATGCGGTATCTATTCATTTGGTTTTAAAGATTAATTTACACAACAGTTGTACATAACTGCTCTTTCTACCTACGCCGCTGACGAGAGTAGCAGCTGTATAAACACTCTACATTATCGCAAAGGACTGTGGGTAATTTATTCGACCATCCATGAGGTGTTGATGATATATGATGGATCAGTAACGTCAAGCTTAAGTAGAAAATGCGAGAGCTTCAAAACATATTCACCCACCGAATATTGCATATGGATACCAAGGTGAATAGGTTACAACAAATAGATAATACACTTAAACTTTAATAATACATGACTGTTTACAAATACACGTGTTTTTGGTAAGTGGTGAGCTAACTAGTTATGGATACGATATATGCTGAGTTTACCGTAAGCTGTATATGTACATAATTGTCATTATATAACTGTAATTAAAAAGGTATTTTATATTTGTCGTGTACATACATTCTGAACTGAATTCAGTGTGGAAAGTGCTCAACAATTGCTATGTAGTCTTGCAATATTGAATGAGGCTCATAAGAAGCGTTCATTGTTGTTTTAATGTGGCTCAGCAGAGCAAATTTCACATGCGTAGGTATAGCAACAAAGTGTCCAGTAGAGCAGCAAGTGACAGTGTGTAGTTAGGGCTTTATAGTGTCAGGCCTCACTATTTGTTGCGCGTGGCTCGTTGGTCTAGGGGTATGATTCTCGCTTCGGGTGCGAGAGGTCCCGGGTTCAAATCCCGGACGAGCCCAATATTTTCTTATTTACTTATTTTTAAATGGTCCATTTACTCCTAACAGTAATAAAATAGCATATCTACTCTAGCGGGGTTACCTGTGGAAACGACGACGAGTTTACGGGAACTAGAAGGTAACGTTACGTATGTACGTAGTATCAACGACACTGACTAACGCGTGTAACTTAGAATCCTATGCAGAGTACTAACAATACTTGCATCTAACGTCAACTAATACATTAGTTAATAAGACTAACTTCAACACAACGAGTTTTTTTTTAACGAGGATGCAGTTTGATGGTATTACGATACTAAGCTTTATTTGATATGAATACCTGTCTCTTCACAAGCGGCTCGTTGGTCTAGGGGTATGATTCTCGCTTTGGGTGCGAGAGGTCCCGGGTTCAAATCCCGGACGAGCCCATGTTTTTTGACTTGGATATTTTTGTGAGATAATATGTTAGTAGTGCTCGATTATTATTATTGTGGTATATACTAGCAAAATCCAACCATTTATATAAGAACATTGACTGCTCAAGAAAACTATTTGGTCAAATCATATTGGATGTAATTGTAATGTCACAAAATAAAAAATTAACATATTTTAGGATGAGAAAAAAAGCAAAGCTTTTTACAAAAAAAAAATACTAACATAGAAAACTGTTAAAACAAGTGTTTTCCATTATTCTATATAGCCTACTTTATGAATAACCTATTAATATTATGATGGGTAACACTTTATTTCGATAGTCCACTTTAGACATTCTATTAACAGTAAGTAACTTTGCAACTACATGTCAACTAGCAGTTAGTGGACTATTAGCAGACCGTCTGCTTAATATCTTCTAACACTTTCTTTGTCAACTTATTCTACTAACCCTAAACCTACCCTAACAGTCTACTCTGAGAGTTAGTAAACATGTAGTTGCAAATTAATGAGAATTAGTGGACATGTAGTTACTTATAGTTAGTAGAATGTCTAAAGTGGACTATCGAAATAAAGTGTAACCTTATGATGTCCTCTCTAAGTTTAAGACACTATGTACCTAAAAACATACAATACTGATCAGTATTTTTCCCCTTTTCTTCTCTGCCTCTGACCTTTCTCTGTCCTGAGATCCAAACTGTCTTCCCATATGTGTTGTCATGAACCCTCAGAAGGATAAAGGCTTTATCATCTTTAAATATGGAATTTCTGATCTCCCGGAAATTCATAAAAATTTGCGGTAATGACATGGAGACACTTCTTTCTGAATAACTAGTGAGATTTGCTTTGTGTGGCAATGGGGGAGGAGAAGGGCTTGTATCACCTCCCTCACGACTCCACAGCCACTTTAAAACACGCGGCGCTTATTCAGACTGACAGCAGAACCAGTTTGCTCTTATTCACACACCCACTAATTCTCAGTCAGATGAGTTCCTCTCCTGACAAAGAACTGGATTAGGAGTCATTCTACTGTAAGTATATTTCTTGATTTCTTTCCTTTAAAACTAAGGTTAATTTACATGTATTTTTGTTCGTTTCATTAAACTGATTAAAAAGGATTTTGATATTCAGTTACACAGCAAACGATCTTGGTTTCTCAATAAGTATTTTTTTGTTGTCCAGTAAGGTATCCAAACATAATTAAAACAAGATACATTTACTTTAGAAACAAAACTGCATAAGATATCGACATTTCAAAAATGCTGAAAACTATTCGAATACAACTTAAAATTTTTTCTTACCTCATTATCAAAAGTTTTTCCTTGCTTAAAGTGTAAGCCTTAAGTTTAGTGAGGTTTAAGCTTAAAAAAATGAGATGTATTTTCTGAAACACCATGTTTTTATGCACTATTGCTTCTAATGTACTTATGTTTAATGGTTTAGATGTTTTTAGTGGAGAAAAAAAATAATTGAGTGATTTTTGCAGTGTGCTGGTTAACATGATAAAGTAAAGACACACTGTTAAAACGGTTTGACAAAAGTCAAGTTACAGTTTGACTAAGGATGTTTCTCATATAATCTTTTACCTGACCATCGTGCTAACAAGACAGCAAAATTAACTAAACATATAATATTACGTAAGAGTAGTCTGTCTTCTGGAATATTCTATAAATTGTATATTGTACTGGTGAAGTTAAATTGTAGATGCTCTCATGGTTGCAGAAACCAAAGATCTTGTCATTCTTTCATGCAGTATTGTTTTGTCAGCATTAGTACTCAGAAAGGGGTCAGAGGTCAATACTCAGAGGTCATATTCAAGAGTGGTCTGTATCACAGGTGGTCTGCAGCATTAGAGTAGAATGCTATAAGGATGAATGGTCAGTGGGGGTCGATCGGGCAATGGCTTTGCCATCTGCTTCAAGATTTTACTGTCACTTTACTGTGCTTAAAGGGATAGTTCATACAAATCTGAAAATTCTGTCATCATTTACTCAGATTGTTTCAAACCTGTATGCATTATATATATATATATATATATATATATATAATTTATTTAAATTTTTTTCTTAAGAAAGTTGTGGTCCAAACACTTTTTTTCCTCAAATATCCCCTTTTGAGTTCCAAGTAATACAGGTTTGGAATGACATGGATGTGTGTAAATAATGACAGAATTTTTTTACTACATGTATGGACTACGTTTGAAAGTCTTTTTTCCCCCCTTGTTTTTGCAGAGTACGCTAAACAATTTCCAGAAGACTGAACTACACCAACATCAGATCATCAGATCAAACATCAGTTCCAGTGTTCAGCCATGGTGCTGTTTGAGGATCAGGAATGTGGGGTCTGTTACCTGCGTTACTCCCGCATCGACCGCGTTCCCAGAACTCTCCACTGCAACCACACATTCTGCACCCCCTGTTTGGAGACAATGGGGCTGCATTACAGCAGCCTGCGCACCATTCGCTGTCCCCTCTGTCGCCAGGTGACTTGTGTGGACCGTGGGCTCAGCTTGCAGGAGGCTCTTTTTGTCAATAGCCAAGTGTGGGACAACATTTGCGATGAGCAAGAGGAGGAAGAGGACGAGAGAGAACAGGAAAAAGAGGAAGAGGGGGAAAACGCTAATATGCAGGTGCTGCCCTCATCACAGGTTGAATGGTGAGTGGGTCACTGAAATGACAAGATGATGCTTAATTGTTTTCAAAAATACATTTGAAATGCAATTCAAACATACAATGACTTCTTTGATGCATGTTTTAAATTTCTAAATTAAATTGTTTTCTTTCTTTTTTTTGAGGGACATTGTCAAAAACAAAAGGGGGATACAACTGTCCTGATGATATAATTAAGAAAAAGCCTTATTTAAAAGAATGAACTAAAAAAGAAACCATTATTAAGTAGTCTGGCATAATCTATTATTCTAATAGTAAAAAGTTAAGTGGTTTTATTAAGATATTATTATTATTTAAAAAGATTTTGTTAAAAAATGAAGAAACTGAAAAAAAAAAATCAGTATAATAGAAACATAATTATATAATAGAAAAGACCCTTGCAGACCCTAATGACTGTGTGTCAAGGTCAATACACCTCTTAAAAAAGAATTTGACTGTTTTATGAAATGTCAAGGCTAGTTCAGGGTGTAAAATGTCATGGGGTGCGACTCCCCCAAAAACGTAATGATATTTGTACAAATATTTTTTTTCCTTGAAAAATATGTTCAAAAACGTTTTTTTATAAGATGTTTTCACTCACACATATTCATGGAGAATATGTTATTCCTTTTGAACTTGGTTACACCACATGACATTTTTAGAGTCATTACATAAACCTTGTTGAAAATGGAACTTGGTATATTTGTTTTAACTAATTTTAGAAAATATTTTTCATTGTCCTCATATACTTATTTTTCACTGACCCGAGTACCTGAGGGCCTGTTTACACCTGGTCACTTCATGCGTTTTTTCTGATCGGATAGCAATCCGATCGTGAAAAGACCAGGTGTAAATGCCCTCCGAAACGCATTCGAGACGGATATAAATCCGATCGCGCAAACCACTTCAGGAGGTGGTCTGGGCCGCATTCCAGACGAAACTGGACAAGTGTAAATGCATCTGGTTGTTGAAACCGCATATGTAAATTTTACTCCTCCCAAAATATTAAAATAATAAACGTGTGAGAGCGTGTTATATATATGACATTAGTCAGACTGCGCTAATGCAGCACGCATCGCTGCAGACGAGTAGCTGAGTGTCTCTTCAGCAAGCCGAAGCGCAAATTGTTCCAAAAAATATAGGAATTGAAGATCGGATTTATATCCGTTTTGCGACTACACATTTATGTGGCCAAGTGTAAATGGAAACGGTTTAACAAATCAGCGAAAACGCATGAAATGACCAGGTGTAAACAGGCCCTCAGTGACTGGTGACTAATGTGTAACATGCAACCAGATGCTAAAATTAATTTACAGAGTCAAGTGAGCCTTTTGAATCAGCAACCTCCATATATCACCTGTTTCAGTTTATAAGTAGCCAGAATACTAGCAGAAAGTGTGCACCCGTTGTCACATGTGATTTTGTCAGTAGAGCATTTGGTCTCAAATCCCTCAAATTTTTATACTTAAAGAGAAATCTCAGTGTCTGTAATAGTAGCTAGAAAATAAGTCCCGAGGTCAAGGATGAATGCATTTGTGTTCCCATTCATACCTAACTTCCTCCTGTCTCTGGTTTTAGTCCAGTGCGAAAACAACACAGACCCAAACTCCGACTCCCGTCTTTCCTGAAGAGAATGAGTTTTTCCAGGCACCCCGAAGAGAGGATTGTTCCCACCTGCAATGTGTAAGTCTTACTGTAATGATCGACAACTCAGTTGTGTATGCCATGTGCTAATTACGTCTGGCGTAGCCTACTGAAAAAGCGGGAGCAACAGTCAGTCCTGGACAAGGTTGTTTAAACAAATCCAATCCCCTTCCATGTGCTTCTGCGACTGCATTTTCCACTTGAATAGCCACAAGTCCGAATCCTGCTCCTCCATCTGAGGGGAACTTCTCATTAGATATTCCACCCTTAATCCGTCCCAGCTGCTGAGGCCGGATTTGCTTCAGCTGTCCCGAGAGACGGAGGGTCCCAGATGCGAAACAAGACTTTCAGAACAGATGGCATCTTGTGAAAGATTCTGATCACCCCCACATCTCAAATGGACTCTTTTAAGTTATTTTAAGCTTTGTTATTTATATAACTTATAAATTATTGTAAATTCAAAAATCTGATTGCTAAATGTTGTTGGTTACTTTTTAAACAGTACATCATTATGTCCTGATTTACATGCCTATCTAGAGCAGAGGGGGTTCAAACTTTTTGATACAAAGACCCCGAATATGACATTACCTTTCTGAGGGACCTCTGTTTCCAAAGAAAAAATAATCAACTTTTTTTATATTATCATTGTGCTTGAAAAAGAATAAAACAAATGCAATACCATGACTTTTACTAGGCAAATGAACAATTATATATGAAATGAAATGTTGAAATGTACAAATTAATGCCAAATTAAAAACATAAGTATATTCCATACTGTTGGCATATTCACTGTAGTGTGTCTGCAACTGACCAAAACAACAACAATGGAATCACTCAGCCGTGTCAATGGATTATACATGCTTTACATTAAACATATGTCATCTTCTATGTATAATTTCTTAAAGAGTTTACCAAGGGTTCTTATACTACATTGGCAAATACAGAGTCTTACAGAGAGAAAAGACAGAGAGAGAAAAAAAAATAAACATTTAAAGAGAATTCTTGACGTGAATTCTTGGAACATGAAACAATGATATGTTTATGTTTCCTCAGAAGGCTTCACAAGCAGGTAACACAACCAAAATAAAGATGTAAAGTGATTATAAAGCTTTATTATCCTGTTTCACAACACATTCTTCTACTACAGAAATATCCAAGCACTATCAAATGACTATCCATGAGTCAATTCACCAGTCTCTGTCTGTGCTGCTGCTTTACAGGCCTCATAAATATAATGTAAGTCAAAGAGACAACTGCTGATTTATGATTCTCATTGATGGTTGATCAGAAGCCAAACAGAAAATGTACTCACAGTTTCAGTAAAGAGCGTGAACTAGTTTCACCTACACCTATGCAAACCTGTTTAGAGAGAAACGGTGGATTAAGCTTTGACCTGTTTTGACAAGTCTTGCAAAGCTTTCACGTGTAAAATTATACTGCTTAATTTGTCAGTTATAACTTAAAGCTGTTTCCTGAGGTTTACAACCTCTTGAGAAGACAACCTAATAAACACTAACAGTTTACATTACAAAGTCAAGAGATAATACTGTATGAAAACAACTAGGATAAAAACATGTATATACAGTATATATTAGGTCTTTATGCTCACTAAGGCTGCATTTATTTGATCAAATATACAGTAAAAACAGTCATTTTGTAAAATGCTATTACGTTTTAAAAATACCTAATTCTATTTGATGTATTTAAAAATATAATTTATTCCTGTGATGGCAAAGCTGAATTTTCAGCAGCTATTACTCCAGACTTCGGTGTCACATGATCCTTCAGGAATCATTCTAATATGGAATCATTCTTAATTCTATTTTTAAACTATAATATAGATTAATTCAATTCTATTAACATTCTAATAATCCACATTTCTATCTAAAATTGTATAATTCTATTTTAGATTACATTTACATTGTAATACTTCACAATATTAGTGTTTTACTGTATTTTTCAACAAATAAATGCTGATCATAAGAGACTAAAATATATATTTTAAATATTAATTCTTATTCCAAACTTTGACCAGTTATACATGAGAAAAGAATAAGAAAAATGAGAGTGGTCAATATTCATTTTTTGGTAATAAGACACTTTTATTGATTTTACTGATTTGGACCGACATGCTAGATTTCTATACAGTGTGAATGGTAAAGCTAGCTCTGAATCAATCAGGCTGGCTGAGCTAAAACATATACACAGGGAATGGTTGCACCCTTAAAAGCATAACTCATTTACGCACAGACATTCACCCAAGGCTGATGTAGCGTTGTGTCAATCACAATGACTACCGGTATAGTACAGGTACACTGATGACATGATTCCATACACAGGGCGTATCTACACCCCATCAAATTCAAATGAGAACCTCTTTTCAGAAGATAATAAGTGAAGAAAACTAAATGTAAACAAAACCAATAAATACTCCCATCCAGCTTTCATTAAGTGATATCTTTCTGAACCTCTCTGTGATGTGAGAAAAAGCATTGGCACAGACAAATCTGATTTTCCCTTTAAGTTTCCGAACTATCCAAAATCAGAAAGCAAATGAAGGGTTTTACTGTCAAACAATTACAGTGTAGTTCACCTTCCATTCCAACTAAATGCTGCTGGATTTAACAGAGAAAAAGTGGCATTTCACTTGGATTCTGGCGCTAATGTCATGTGCTCCTACTCACTTCCTCAACATCACAGATAGCTAGTTTTGACTTGTTTCTGCGTTATGTGAAGCAACTTTACAAATAGTATATCTGTACAGTGACCCTCGAGCGATTTTCACAGAGATGTACGCTACAGTTTGAACTCTAAAGTGGTTTCAAGGACAGACATTTGACAGCAATTTTGAAACATTTACATCTTCCTTTCTTGAAAAAGTGCATTAAGGATTCACATGAAATACATTTCAAATAAACTGATGTACTACACAATGTGTGTCCCCCTGGTCAGTGCACTACAATTTACTGGCCCAAAGAGCAGGTGTAGACATGAGTGGGTTCCTACACAAGGCAAACACAATAATGCTGCATAATGCTAATTATGAAAAGTGAACTATAGTTATTTTTGAAGGAATGTCCCATCTTTGCATTTCTGATATTAAAGCCTGTTTGAAAACGACAGCTGATATATTTACAATAGAACTGGACTGTTTGAAGAATCAGTGTGGAAACTGCTAGCGTGCAAACGAATTATGCCAATCGATTAAATATGAATGACCAAGTTTAGATGCATGATTTGCTCCTCAGTCACGTTCGTAGTCTTCATAGCGACTATCTGCAATACGCTAAATGCCCTAATTAAGTTAAAGAATAAGAAACATTCCACAGAAGAAACAGAATCCTTTCATGTTATCAGGTTGTTTGCACAAGTGGTTTGCTTTCACTGTGAACAGGAACTAATAAAGAAAAAAAATATGCTGTAAACATTCAATAAACCGTGTAATTAAGACATGAACTGTACATAAACAGATTTTTTAAAAATCACACATAATGTGGAAAGGTTTTAAGGGATCTGTAATGACACATTTACACAAACTCACTTAAAGACCTGGCCTGAAACTTAAAATTTCAAGTTCCGTCACAGCAAGAAGAAGAAAAAAAAGGCTAAAATAAGTTGATTTCATGAAGTGCATTAAAAACATACACATTCACATAATCTTGTGCACAGTAGCCAGCTGGATTGAGATGCTTTTAAAAATGGCTAACATGCATGTTTGCCATATTTCGTTGGTTATTTGTTGTTTGAATTGCCCTCTTGCTTTTGAAATCCAGATTTTGATGGCAAAATTATAGAATTTATTGTCTGCATCTGTTTTAGTGCTCATCCTTGAATACAAAAATACAAAACAAAGAAAAAAAATCTGCCTCTCTACATTTTCAAAAAGTATATATGCTGGACATAGTCTACATTTTTGTTGATTTTTGCCCTTTACCTTTCGAATTTTTAGGATTTTTGGCAATTTTGTTACTAAAGTATACTATTTTACAACTGAAATTGATGTAACACTGATTCCAACCAGTTACTAAAAGTCAGACGGGAAGGCCAAATATCCAATCTGAAAACACAACTGGAAGCTAACCAAGAGGAAGCAACACAACAAGCATGTGGTGTAGATGATGCTGTAAATCAGATGTGAGCTATTAACAGGAACATCCGCCCTCAGTAGTTGGAGGCTCCTGTGGTTTGTCCAATTTTATGTCAATCACTAGAGAATGCTGTTAAGGAATACAAACGTCAGTCCATCAAGAACTTACGTCAAACAATGAATATAAATGTAAAAGGTGAAAAGAATCCAACTATAAGGAAAGAGGGAATATTTTGGGGTTTTTTTGTGGGAGACTGGCTATAGGTAAGACCTATATGATCAGTAATGCTTTATTTTAAATTCATATTTATATTTAACATTAAATGTAATGATAATTTATAAAATGAATATGAAGCAGGGACCTAACTTTATGTTTGTATAACTCAAAAAGTAAGCCTTAGACCTCTCCCGGCATTAGGAGTAATTGCAGCCATAAATGCTGAAGTATTGAATATTTATTGCATCTTTATATCTACAAAATGCTTTATACACAGCATAACCTAAAGAAAACATTGTTTTGCCTATATTAGCAGATAAGAGCTGAATATTTTGATAGCACACTTACATTTTTCATTTTATTTATTGTATTCTGACGTCTGCCAGCAAAAGGGAATGTGCGCCATCTAGTGGTCATCATCTAGCTTTCCTTGCCAACATAAAAGAACCTCATTCAAATGAACGTTAACTGGTGTCCCTGAGAGGCGTGTGTGTTTAGTGGGGCTTTTATGCTTGTTCAGTCATACCAGCTGCTCCTGGCTGAGCCGACTCTCATAATGTGCTCATGTTTTCATTCATGAACAAATGTTGAAGTAGTGAGAGGTGCGATGTGTGCGTGTGTAGTTTGTTTAATGGCGTCCGCGTAAAATGATTTGTTTAATGAATTTCTCTAAATCAGTCACATTAAGCCTCATTCATACTTAGAATATAAAAACAAATCAGAGCTTCGTAATCTCAGTGAAGACAGATCATAACCTTGGCTGAGCTGAGAGCTTTCTGACTTTTCCACAAACTAGAGACATGTTGTGATAATTTGCTTCTGTCATCTAATAAAGGTTTTTTTCCCCTGACACCACAGTCCGTGTGTTCAAAATGCGTTAAAGGCTCGCTATTTAAACTGGACTCTACCACTGATCTATATAATTCAGTGGGCCTTAAGCGCAATAAAGATACTGTGTGAATATTAATTGGGTCACACAGACGCTGTAACCTCCCGAGAGCAAGTAACCTTATACATATTCATGACTTTCCCCATAGTAGGTCTCCTTACTTTGCGAATTAATTAGCACACCCCAATCCGTTTCAGCCAATAAGATCAAAACGTCACATCACTTAATTAATATTCATGATAAAAGACTTCATACTTGTGTTGTGACGCATTAAAGGGATAATGTTCAGCCCAAAATGAAAATTCTGTCATCAATTGCTCACCCTCATGTCTTTCCAATCCCATTGGTTTTTGTTTGGATACTGGATTTAAAGTGCCCCTATTATGGATTTTTGAAAATTACCTTTCATGCAGTGTGTAACACAGCTCTAAGTGAATTAAAATATCCTGCAAAGTTTTAAATGTGAAAGTGCACCGTGTATAAAGTTATCGTCTCTCAAAGAAAGAGTCGACTCTGAATCATTGAAACAGTCCTTTTTAAAACGA